CAGTAGGACAGTACAAGTAATAAGCAGATAGCATCTCTCGTCGAGAACATTCCGAGTCTGCATCGCCGCACCGCGCCGCAGCCAGTCTCACACGTCGTTCTCCAATGTCCCGGCTGAAGCGATCAGCTCTCGCCGCTACTATACCACAGAGCCTGTAGAGACCAGATGTCGTGTAAAAGCAGGAGGTCTATACTAAGGGCCTCAAGCTAGGTTTCAGCAGCGGCACGCAGCGCTCTAGTCGGGACTCCGTCTGTCATTTCTGGCAGTCCGGGCCGATGTTTCTAAATCGACTTTCGGGCCGAATGACCGACTAGCCGCCGGTGTCACGCTCTTCGTGCAGCTGCCCCGCACTATATATCTGGCGATTGCTGCTCTTTCTACGCTCACTACCTGTACTTCGAACTCCAGAACCTACCTACGATGGCTACCAAAGTAATGATTTGTGGTAAGCGACGCGCGATGGCGCACTGCAGATGAATGCGAGACTGATCTTGCCTAGCCGACCGCGGCGGACTCGCATGGTCGACGGATGAGTGCGCGGAGATATTTAAGGGCATCGCGAACGTAGTCGTACGTATACAGACTGGAATACATTATTTCAAAAGATGTCCTGACCCGGTCTATCTGACAGGTGATGGATGCTCCCGACCGCGCGACATTCTTGAAGGATCTTCAGCCAGGCGGCAAGTACGCGGGAACGAAGGCAGTATACAGACACAACCTTTCCGCTGACCGCATCGGCGTGTTTGACCCCGAAATCATCGCTGCTCTTGCGGATGCCGGTGTCAAGTGGATTGCCCACAACGGAGCTGGATACGACCAGATCGATGTAGCGGCCGCAGGATCGAAGGGTCAGTCACCCATATTCAGTAGCTGAAGTGCCATGGACTGATGATGTTGTTTACAGGTATAGTTGTGAGCAATACGCCTGGGGCAGTCGACGATGCGACCGCTACGAACGGTCTCTACCTCATGATCTCTGCTCTGCGTTCCTTTTCCCTCGGCGAACGGACCCTGCGTGCCGGCAAGTGGAAGGCTGGGGTACAGGCTGCCAAGTCTCGCGATGTGACTGGCCGTACTCTCGCGATCTTGGGTCTGGGCGGTATAGGCCTGCGTCTTGCGGAGCTTGCTCGTGCTTTCCCTATGCGCATCATCTACCACTCGCGTTCTCCCCGAGAGGACGCCCCGGAATGGGCGGAATACTACGGCAAGGATAGGTTGAAGGAGTTCCTCGCGGAAGCGGACGTTCTGAGTGTACACGTCCCTTTACGGCCCGACACCGTGGGCTTCGTGGGCGAGGAGATGATCAGGGGGCTGAAGAAGGGCGCTGTGATTGTCAATACCGCGCGGGGTAAAGTCATTGACGAAGCGGCCATGATTCGCGCGCTTGAGGATGGACATGTACGTCCACTATCGCAAGCTCTTGCCCATTTCGGGTTCTCACATGCGATATACAGCTCGGTGCCGTCGGGCTGGACGTATTCCCCGATGAACCGCAGGTCAACCCTCGGTTGCTGGACTTCCCGAATGCGACGCTGCTTCCGCATTTGGGCACGGAGACACGCGACACGCAGAAGAAGATGGAACTGCGTGCGTTGGGCAACGTACGCGATTTCCTCGTGGAGGGCAAGGGAAAGGACATCGTTCCTGAGCACAAAGAGCTCGTGACGAAGCTCTAAGTTGTATTCAATGTATACTGAGTACCGCGACAGTGTAGAGTAGGGGGCACGAATGCGCAGGTGTTCTGTGTCAGAACCATCACGTATGGCGACGGCTACGCGCCCGCCGTTTAACATTCCTCGAAACGTCATCTCGATCAATAGATCAATAGCATGCCGAAGCCATTGAAACTGCCACTGCAACTCTGTCCAGAACCACCACGACGCGTAGCTTCTGAGCTATGTCTTCCTCTGACAGTGACAGTAGGGGCGCTGGCTCATCAGCGAGGACTCAGAAGAAACGACGGCGAGCCAACGCGTGCGACATGTAAGGCACGTTCATCCAGTTTCCCAGCTATACATGCGCATGCATCATACGCCCGGCGTTACGGGCTCCGAATTCATTGCTCTCGCTTTCCGAGAATGCGGGTCTGGCTCAGGTTGTTGTTTCTGGCTGTTGACACGCGCTCTTCTGTAGGTGTCGCAAAAGAAAGAGTGAGTCGGGCTTCTCCGCAGCTTCGAGTACCTCACAAACGCGTACTTCGCCCTGTGCTCTCAGTCAAGTGTGAGGTCTACTTTGCATGACGTCCTCAAACCGTATATTGATTCCCATATGCAGGCGATGGAAAGCAGGACCAATTCGGCCGATGTACGAACTGTAATACTCACGATTGGGGTAAGTCTTCTGTACGCCGATCAACCCAGGCTCGCGACAAATGCTAAGGGTATCACAGATTGTGCCTTCAATAGCCACACCAACAAGGTGCGCATACACATGATGACAGAGTCATGCGCATTAAGTAATCTCCACTCAGCGCTACGAGTCGGGGTAAGGGGCTCAACCCTCGATGCCTGATATGATAGCTGGCTCTAACTGGTGTATAGCTACGTAGAAGCGCTCGAACTCAAGGTCAAGAAGTTCGAGAGCCTGATCAAACGAGTATGGCTTCAAGCTATCCACAGCTCATGATGACTGACGTTCACCCTCGCCAAGTTACTCCCAGATCAGGACTTCACTGCCGAAGTGGGCTATGAGCTAACACGGGATAACTGGATGTTGCCTGGCGTATGTGGCACCACTCCATCAAACCTCACACGATCTTACACTCCCTCCTCCTCCGATACGGGAGTCATGCCTGCGCCGTCTGTCTCAACCCCAAGCTCGTTCGCCGTACTAGGACCTGATCAAGCCCCGCCAATGACGCCCCTACCAGAGGACGATCACTCTGATGATGAGATGAACAACATCACTACGAAACTGCAGAACCTTCCTGCTATCGCCATCGCGAAACCTCGAGATCTGACGAATTACCTCGGCAAGTCTTCGGCTGCTGGCCTTCTCAAGACCGCGTTCGCACTCTGTGCCAAGCTGGCTCCGAACGTTGATGCGACAGCAGTGTTCCGCATGATGGGAAAGCGACCAACTGTGAGCGCACTTCTATCGAATGCATGTTACAGCTGCTGAGAACGATGCAGTGGCAATATGATCTCCCGTACGATCGTGCACCACCGCCTCTCACATTTCCGGAACAAGATCTCATGGACGACTTGATCAAAGTATACTTCTTCGACGTCCACATGTTTTCTCCCGTTCTCCATCGACCGACATTTGAGGCCGACGTCAGAGCTGGACTTCATCTTCGCAATCGCGAATTCGGTAACCTGGTTCTTCTGGTATGCGCTCTTGCGTCGCGGTTCTCGCACGATCGTCGCGTACTCGTTGAAGGCGAAGATAACTGGCACTCGGCCGGCTGGAAGTACTTCGTGCAAGTGCAATTGAATAGCGACGCATTCGTCCGGATGCCCAGTTCGCATCTTTACGGGCTGCAGACCATTTGTGTAGGTCTTCAGCATCCCTTTCGGTGCCATCGACTCAGAGGAGTATCACAGCTAGGCGTCATGTACAGCGTCAGTATCTCGTATGTGCACGCATGGGTTCATGCTGCCTTGGGGATTCGTTTGGCTCTCGACATTGGCGCACATAAGCGACGTGCATACGGCACGTCACCAACCATCGAGGACGAGCTATACAAACGGACATTCTGGTAAGGACGCGCCACGATAGCCCTGCTTCCAATCCTGAGGCTCACGTGCATCAGGACATTAGTCTTCTTTGACCGCACGATGAGCGGATCAATGGGGCGCCCATGCAGTATACAAGAAGAAGAGTGAGTCTCGCGATCGACATTTTCTACGATCCGTACTCATCATCGTCCAGCTTCGATCTAGAGCTTCCCCTGTGTTGTGACGACGAATACTTGGACCCTCAGTTTGGCGGAAAGCAACCGGAGGGCAAACCTTCTAACGCTAGTTACTTCGTCTGGATGCTCAAGCTGTCTCAGATACAGGGGTTAGCTCTACGGACCATCGTACGTACGTCGCGATCTTGTGCTCTTGGGTGGCTGAATACGACCTCTACGTCTCTAGTACGCGAGCACCAAGGCCCGGGCACATTACAACTTCCAAGGCGAGGACTGGATCACGCGCACGATTGCGCAGTTGGACTCGCTACTGAATAACTGGGCCAACTCGGTCCCTGACCATCGTATGTGATCAGAGCAGGCATTCCGAGGCATGGTCCACTCATTCCACGGTTTAGTACGCTGGGATCCCTCTCGAGCCGATGATCTCTTCTTCTGTCAGTCGGCGCATTTGTGGATGCAATACCACGAGATACAGATCTCCGTTCACCGCCAGTTCATCTCTTCAATACAAGCCACCCCGATGCCGTTCCCTGCTCTCACCATTTGCACAAGTGCCGCTCGCGCGCTCGTTCATCTGACTACTTCGCTGTATACGAGGATGCCAAACCGTACCGGGGTGTTGCATTGGGGTGTAAGCGATTTTGCGGCACCCACACGCACGTGGCTCACGCTTTGATTATAGGCGGGATACGCCGGACTTGTTCTACTTGTCGGCATTGGAAACGCACGTCTGCACAATCTTCCATACGATCGCAAGTCGGCAATGGCTGACGTGGAGACCATGTTGGCTATCTTGCGGACGCAAGAGAACCGTTGGCGATGGGCTAGCCGTCACGCGTGCGTCCATTCCACACAAGCGACCCATTCTGTATTGACTCTCGTTTGCAAAGGGACTCGCTTGAGGTCCTGAAGGCAATAGGCGAAAACGATAGCTACGAACCGGTGAAGTATCGGAAACGCCCGTACGACCAAGTTAGTACAGACACGCCTCAAGCCACCAATCCCTACTTCAACCAATTCCTACCTGCCGAAGATCGGATCGGAGCTAGCTCTGGAGGTTTGGATTGGAACGAGCCCTCTATGTTTGGCTCGGCGCCGACTGGACAAGACGCGGCCAGGAGCGCACAGCCACCCGACTCCTCACAATCGCAAAATGCCGGTACCGTCCTTGGTGCCGTTGACTTCGGCGCACTGTTTGGGTTCGGCAATCAGACAGAGACATCGTATGCGCATTACTTGACCGCTTTGGATTGTACTCACTGCCTCTCCTCCAGCGGTCTTGCTCCCAGCGATCAGCCCCTCGGTGCTACGCCACTAGGCGATTGGTCTGGCGTGTCGTTCGACTTCGGGTGAGCACCTGTATACTGTATCACTCGAGATGGATACTGATGATGTCACAAGGTTTGACGACTGGCAATGGATGATGCCAGAACAGCCTTCCTTCAACGGCTATCAGGTGCATTCAGAGGGCCAGCACTGAATGTATTTCAACTCGACGACCCATACGCTGTAGAGGAATTCCTCAAGATGGAGCACACGAAATGGGCAGTTTTCTAATACGCGTCACCGCTCGAGCAGCCCCGCGGTTCATCTTCCAGTGTACTATTACTACTACCTAGTACCACCTCGATGCGGATTTCAAGTTCTTCACAGTGTACTAGCCATATGAAGACTGGGCCTTACAGCCGTTTTCAATGAAGTGCAGAATCACGAATCGCGTCAACGCGCTCGACGCGTCCCTTACTTGCATCGTATTCACGCTCAGACCTCCTAACACTTTTGTAATCAGGCTCAGTAACCCTTCGAGATAGTACGGTAAATTTTCCGCGCAGACTTATAGGCCTAGGGAAGAGGAACAAATCGTACAGCTGAGTGGGAGTGCCGGGAATCGAACCCGCTCCATTGTGGGGGCGCATTTGCCGCTGGGGCTGTAAACCTACTCTTCTCATGCGGAGCGGCATAAACTGCTTCTTGTAGATTATTCTAGCATTCATGGTAGGGTGAATGTTGAGCCATTAGGATACTTATGTAGATGAGCAGAGGAAGACAGACGCAAGTTGCGACACATGCGGCTTGAAAGGAGCGGATCAATCTTTATTGATGGCCGATCAACAGCATGCGACTGCTACGCCGTCATGAACCTGCTTTCGACCACCACCACACCCCACGAGGGGCTTCACGCTATGTCTTCCTCTGAAAGTGAAGGAAGGAAAATTGGCACATCGAGAGCGACTGAGAAGAAACGGCGACGAGCCAACGCATGCGATGTGTAAGGCGTCTATTACTCATTTCCTGTGCTTGCGCGCATCAACGGACGGGCTTGTGGGCATCAAAAGCGCCAGAGTACTCGCACAATCGCGACCCAACTTTAGATAAGCTGATTAGTGCTCTTCGTAGGTGTCGGAGAAGAAAAGGTGACTTGAACCACTGCGATACTACTTGATCCTCGTCTGAGATGCCCGCCCTTTCGCCTTGCGAATCTAGTGAAATGTGGGCTTATGCGCTGAAACGCACGATGCTCTGATGAGTTGATCCTTTGCTAGGCGATGGGAAGCAAGCTGCTACCGGACGATGCACAAACTGCAACACTCATGATTGGGGCAAGTACCCTGCCCTCGCACTATAAGCGCTTCGTGCGCTGACTCACCAAAGACTGTGTCTACAATAGTACTCTCAGCTTGGTGAGTGTTTATGTGACTCAACAAGACTGATGCGCACTCATCGACATCTCATCCTTCACCAGAGATATGACGCAGGGTACGTGTAGGCGCTCAGCTCGCAGATTGGATCATCACACTTGCGTAGCTATATCAGAGCACTCGAAGTCAAGGTCAAAAAGCTTGAGGGTCTCATCAAACGAGTAGAAAATTCGGCCGCTCACAGTTACTTCTGACTGATTGTTTGCATATCCAGTTGCTACCAGACCAAGACTTCACCTCTGAAATCGGTTTTGAATTGACTCGTGATAACTGGATGTTGCCCGGCGTGTGTGGCTCGCATGCATTGAACGACGCTCAGCCCCACACCTCTAAGATCCCGCTGGCGGACGTCATGCCTGCATTCTCTACCTCTACATCGGGCTCCCTCGCCATCCTAGGACCTGAGCAAGCGCCACCGACAACGCCCTTACCAGAAGATGATCATTCCGAGGATGAAGTGAATAGTCTCACGACCAAGCTTCAGAGTCTTCCTGCCCTCGACGCCGCGCCACCTCGGGCCTCAGTAAACTACCTCGGCAAATCTTCGCGCGCTGGTCTTCTCAATACCGTATTAGCTCTCTGCGCCAAGCTCGCTCCGAGCGCAGATACGACTGCGGCATCTCGCACACTAGATAAGCAGCCATTGGTGAGCCTGATTCTACCGATATCAGTGGCTGGTGCTCACAACGACACAGTGGCTGAAGGACCCTGCGTACGGTGACCCACCACCACCGTTCCAATTTCCAGAACAAGACCTTTTGAATCAGCTACTCCAGATCTACTTTGTCAACGTCCACATGTTCGCGCCCGTTCTTCATCGCCCAACATTCGAAAGTGACGTGAAGTCTGGACTACATCTTCGCGGTCGTGCATTTGGCAGCGTGGTCCTTCTAGTATGTGCACTGGCTTCGCGGTTCTCGTACGATCGTCGAGTGCTTGTCCAGGGAGAAGATAACTGGCACTCGGCAGGATGGAGATATTTCATGCAAGTGCGACTGCACAGTGATGCGCTCTTCTCGTCTTCGAGCTCCCACCTGCATCGCCTACAGGCTATATGCGTGCGTCTCATATGTCGCGTCTTCCGTTGCAATCTGACGATCATGATATGCACCTAGCTCGGCGTCATGTATAGTATCGGGTTCTCTTCGCTCCATGCCTCTCTCCACGCCACCATGGGTATTCGCTTGGCATTGGACATTGGAGCTCATAAGCGCAGCGCATATGGTGTCAAACTAAGCGCCGAGGATGAACTCTTCAAACGGGTGTTTTGGTGAGCGCAATGACGATAAAATACGACTGCCTCTCTAACTCGCGTCGCTAGGACGCTTGTCTTCTTTGATCGTACGCTGAGCGGATCAATGGGCCGCCCGAGCAGCATACAAGAGGAGGAGTATGTCTCATGCCTCATCGCTCGTCTCCTACTTATCAAGGTTCAGCTTCGATCTAGAGTTACCTCTCTGCTGCGATGACGAATACCTCGACCCTCAACATGGTGGAAAGCAGCCAAAGGGCAAATCATCTACCGTAAGCTACTTTATATGGATGATCAAGCTCTCTCAGATTCAGGGCCTGGCCCTGAGAACCATAGTGAGTACGTCTCTACTCTAAGGAGACTTCGGAGCTGAAGAGTACTCTCACGTCCAGTACGCAAGTACCAAAGCTCGAGCGCACTATAAGTTTCAAGGTGAAGAGTGGACAACGCGAACTATCGCGCAGTTAGACTCGCTACTGAACAGTTGGGCCAACACTGTTCCTGAACACCGTACGCATTGAGAGAACCTCCCATGGCGAATACTGTACTCATCCTGCGCCACAGTACGTTGGGACCCAGACCGTACCGACGACGTCTTCTTCTGCCAGTCTGCGCATCTATGGATGCAGTACCACGAGATGCGGATCATGGTCCACCGTCAATTCATATCTTCGCCACAGACCACGCCATTGCCATTCCCGGCCCTCGCGATGTGCACGAGTGCTGCGCATTCACTCGCGCATCTGATTGCTGCATTGTATACGCGACTGCCCAATTGCACCGGGATCCTCCATTGGGGAGTGAGTGTCTTCGAGCCGCCCATGGAGCCCATACTCATTATGTTCAGGCTGGGTACGCGGGCCTTGTGCTACTGATCGGTATCGGGAATGCGCGTCTGCACAACCTCGTCTATGACAGGAAGTCAGCAATGGCAGACATCGAGACTATGTTGGCCATCTTCCGTTTGCAAGAGAACCGTTGGCGTTGGGCTGGTCGATACGCGTGCGTTCACGATCTAGATACGTTTGCTATGCGCAGCTCATGATGGTCACAAAGACGCATGTTGCAGACTCTCAAGGTGATAGGAGAAAAGACCAGCTACGAGCCAGTAGAGAGCCGGAAACGTCGCCTTGAGGAAGACCCGGACGTTCCGCAAAAGACGAGATCGAACTTCGACCCATCGTTGTCCAAGGAGGATCGTCACAGTCAAGGCGCATCAGGAAGCGCAGATTGGAGCGAACCGTCTGTATTCGGTCCAGCGCCAATCAGTCAATCACCGGCCGGTGGAAGTCGTCCGCTGGATGCATCTCTATCTTCGAGTACAGGCATCGTCTTGGGCAACGTCGACTTCGGCGCGCTCTTTGGATTTGAGGTTGCAGACGGGATGGATGTGCATTTACATCCATCCACTCGGCTGGACAGCGAGATGGATACTTTCGGCAGTCTTGCGACCGGTCCTGTGGGAATGACACAACCAGGAGACTGGCCTGCAATGCCACTTGATGTCGGGTGGGTACATGAACTTTGCGCTCGGTCACCGATGACTGATGAGAACACAAGAATGGACGACTGGCAATGGATGCTTCCAGGGCAGAGCGCTTATGGCGGATATCAAACGTTTACGAGGGAGCAACAGCACCGCTAGCTGAACCACGAAGTAGCTCGCATATTCAGTATCTGACGCTTAGGTATCAAAGTTGGAACAATTATACTGAGCGGACTCTAGTGTAAGAGATCCCGTATGCCTCGGACACAGGGGAGGGGCGCGAGCAAGCTGAACCAGAATAGAGTAGTTCATTCCGTGTACATTGGACGTTCAGTCATTTTGTACTGTTGGTACGATCTTACGTCGAAGCCGCGTAGATCGACGCATCGACTGAGCAACCTTGCTACTTGTGCGATGCACGCCCGAGGATTTGGACGGGATAGCATCGTCAGAGGCAGGGCCACCTAGAGCACGTCGCTTCGGCTTCTCGTCGGCGGCGCCAATCGTGTCGCGCTTCCGTTTGGAAGGCCGTGAAGATGTGTCTGCATCGTCTTTTGCCGCTTCCATCGCACTCGAACTAGCAAGACCTCGCAAGGGGTTTGCGCGCCGGGCCCGCGTCGGTTGACTTGGTGTTCTTGTTGCGGGCTTAGCTATCTGGGCGTTTGTGCTCGTGCTGTGTTTGCTTTGCGCGCGAGTTTTTCGACGCTTTGAGGTAGCCGGGTCTTGACGACTCTCAAACTCAGACTTGCGTTTAGTAGAGCTGCCGGCCGTCTTCTCGGCGGGAAACCCTGCTTCAACGGGTATGAAGAACCCGGCAGCAGTACTGAAATGATGTGGCTGTGCCGAGGAGGCCGGAAGATGTGGGCCGTATAAGACCGGCGAGAAATCGTTCCACCCGCGATGAAGCCCGTACGGTAGGCAGTACCGCTGGGACCACCGCATGATCTCAGGGGGGACGGGCCCGTATTCGAGTTCCGCATTCCGATTCACCTTGACGAAGCCGCGATAGATGATGTCGGGATGATCCATTGGGGGGGCATCGGGATCGTGCACGACCTCGACATCGTGGAACTCGTCGTGATGTAACTCGTGATAGGTTACAGAGGGGTGCGGAGATACTGACAGATACGACCCCGGCGGGAAGGCGAGGGCAGGGCAGGTTTCTTCTAAGGGAAGAGCGGGCGGTGGGATGAAGACGGGCGTGTGCGGGCGGTTGTCGGATTCAAGAGTTTGCCTAGCGCGTCCAGCGCAGTAAGTTTGAGTCATTTCCTCTTGTCCATTGCTTGGGATTCTGAATGGATGGTCTCAGTGACATCTCGTAAGCAAGGAAGGAATGCGCACAGATTAGCACGGATGTCTCGCAGTCTCGAACGAGTGCTCTCCATCCCATCGAGGCAATCACGTACAGCGCAACCCACGAATGACAGGCCATGGTGAACCAGGTCATCACGAGAGTGATATCGAATTTGGAACTCTAGTGGATATACACCGCTGGGCCAGGAGGGGAGCTCAGTCTTGCTCTCGTGTGCTCGTCTTAAGAGGGGGTCGGGAGTGAGGTGGATTAGGTCGCCGTGGTTCAACACATGTATCTCGTCGTCGTAGAGCCGTCGGTAGTTAACCTAGCGTCGCATGTCAGCAATAATGGTCACCATGGAAGTGCCTCCACATACCCATGTACCATTCGTTGATGTCAAATCTCGTATAGTGACATGCCTTCCCCTCCAACCAAGTTCGCAATGCCTCTCACCTGTGATCAACCGTCAGCAGGCATTTGATTCACTGAGAGAATCACGCACTGGCAAGATCGCAGCCTTCTGGCAATATGATATCACAGTCACTCGCGCGCCCAATGACATGGGTCTGCTCGGGACTATCCCAGAGTAGACAATACGTCCCGAAGGAGGCGACATGTCGCGGATCGGGAGGCGGAGCGTTTGAGGGGTACTCTTCGTGGAGACTCGGGCCGTAGTGGGGTGGTGGTAGTGAAGGATAGGTTCTGGCTGTGGGGATGGCCATTGCAGAAAGACAAGGAGGCCGTTGTCACCGGGCAGTCAAAGATGCCAATGCTAGGGTGCAGACAGTAACGATCCTCTACTACACTTGGATCGATAACACGGGCGTAAGAAGCAAGGGCAACAAGGGTGTGAGAAGGCTTCGACATACAAGACCATAGTCGCCATTTTGAGCGTTCAACGTTCAACGTTGGTTCTATTGACGTTGCCTGATGAAGATGAAGACCCAGTCTTGGGCGCACGAAGCAAGAAACATCGCGACTGACAGGGCATTCGCCGCGCAGCGCATCTGGTGTTGGCGGCGGTACCGTGGTAAGGGTCTGCTCCCTACCACCACGATAGCCACATGCCGATTTATCACCAGAGCCCGTTTCAACGTTGTGCTCAGTGTACTCCGCAATGCTACTCGTTATGAAGCTCTCGATATCACTTGAAGTGACCGTCATAGGCGTCGGGTCGGGGTCTTTCGTGCCTACGCCTTCTGCAGCGAACACCTCTTGTTCTGCATGGACCGGCCACTCATGCTTTTGTTATCTCAAGTCGATACTGTGCAAGCTCTTGTTTCTCCCAATCTAGTTTCTCCTTGTCCGGGAAGGGACCTTAAGTACTCGCTTGTCGCCACCTCATCGCTCTCTATATCTCCCCATCATTTCTTCCCTCCTTCCATCTGCATACGTCATCTACACTGCTGGCAGCCATGACTTCTACTTCACGCTCATTTCACGCCAACGAACCAGTGTACTACACTGAGGACATCACGATCGTCGACCCGTTAGAGTTCGACCCTGTCTTATCACAATATGTGGATCTGGTCCGTTTGAAGGGGTTGCCATCTCCGCGCAAGCCGGGAGTCTGTACTGTCACCAAAGCAGAGTGTAAGGTCGTCGAAGACTCATCTGAAACCTCTGAAACAACCTGCGCGTTTATCCTTTCTATCTCCTCGTTAAGTGAGTTGCTTTGCCAACCCGTGGATGACCTGCATGGCTAAGCTCACGCTTCTTTCAGCACGTTGTACATTTCGCATGAAGTCCGCTCCTTTCAAGCAGGAGTTCTGTATCACGATACAGACCGCCAGCCGGAATGTTCTGGTGCGCACCATGTGACTTGACTCGGTTGAACCAACGTCTTACCCCTTTGTTAGGTCAACGCCAAATTATTGCAACCCGGGGAAGTCCATCCCCTCACCAACCTAGACTGCATCGAGCTCTTTGACTCCGAGGGCGACGAACACCGGAGATTCCAATTGCGCCTTGCACCCGTAGTCTACGATCCCGAGCAGAAGGCCACCTATACCCCCATTCGTGAGCTTGGCCGCGGAGGGCAGGGGATGGTCTGGGAGTGTGGCCATCCGAAAAACCTGGAGCGTGTTGCAGTTAAGGTCATACGGAGAAGGGTCGCCGATACGTCCGACAGATGTGCGCCAGTTGTCGAGGTGTCCAGAGAAGTGGCTATGCTGAAGAAAGTGTGGGTCGCATCGGCGGTCCATAGCTATCGTAACACCTTCAAGCTTCCCGAAGGATTCCTGAAAATGTCTGCTAAAGAACCTTCAATACCCATCATTCCATTCCGGGGAAGCTGGACGATCTGGGGAGCAGACTGTTGGTTCTTTCACGGAGATTGCACCGAAAAAGCCCTACTTATATCTGCACCTCTTTCACAGTCATCGTACTTTCTATGGCCGCAGGAGATTTGGAGAAGTGGTGCGATAATATAAAGACCTCTACGAGATCACCACCCAGTGAGTTCGATCGTGACTCCCTTATAAGGTGCTGAGTCGATGCTGATGATGCTTGTATAGCCGAAATGCAAACGTGCGCTGTGGCGATTCAGATCTTCGATGCCCTTCGAGTGAGGGATGCTCCATCAGACCTTGTAATGTACTCATACCGAGTCTCGCAGTATATTCATAAGCAAGGTCTCGTTCACGCGGATCTCAAGCCCGGCAACATCTTGGTCATGGACCGCGAGTTCTATCCCCGCGTTGTTGTCAGCGACTTCGGTCTTTGTATGGAGGAACAGGACATTAAGGTGTTCGTCGAGGGAAAGGTACGAGTCGACTCCGGTCATCATATGCTTTCAGTAATCGCTCATACGACAAAATAGCATGGTGCACCAGGTACGCGGATGTTCGTACCGCCAGAATCGATGCTATCGCCAGCAAATCCCCATCCGACTGCTGGCACGCCAAACGATATTTGGGCAGCGGGGCTTACACTCCAATACTTGTATGAGCCGCGAGCGCGCCGCCCAACTATCCCTCACGTGCGAGCTAATTTGCTCGGTATAGATTCACCTGCGGATACTTCCATCTCCAACCGGACCGCGTCACCCCTCTGGAAGAATACACCGACGCATTCTTTGAAAAGCTGTACATTTACTATAGGCGCAGTGGGGTCTCCCGGAATGGTCAGCGCTGCTCTCTATTTCCGGTCTTGCCTGCATACCTGTGCTCACGTTGCTTGCTGTCTTTCTAGCGATCAACGTGCTCGAACGTTGCTTCAGACTCGACCCGACCAAGCGTTTGACCGCCAAGGGCGCATTTGGGTTGACTTGGTTTCGCGACTTCAGGCCCATAGAACCGGGAGTTTCAACACAGAAAACGTTGACTGACTCGCCCTCCAGTCTCGTCGAAGCCCCTCTGGACGGCCCGGGAGTTCCCAGGGACAGCGCCCACCTCGGCGCGAAGCGCCCGTTGTCCGATTCTCACAGCGAGATCGCTGAAAGTGGGAAGAGTAAGGGGAAGGCGCCGGCGCACAAACGCAGAGACCTACTTGCAGGCTAATCTCGCGTACCGCACACTCTCCAAGCCCAGATAACCTCCAGCGCTTCAGTACCCGGAATTATAGCAATAGTATCTTGCGTAATGAACTAGACGACCATCAATACTACTTACGCCGGGATGCCAGATGTCGTGAGGTGAATGCTAGAGTCGGATAGACGCATGTGAGACTGGTGGATTGAACAACCAAGAAGAGTTGGCCTGTACCACTGATACCACTGATGGCAGCACTCGGCTCAAACAGGTCGCGATGGGGACGACAAGGGTCGTGTGAACGCGATCAAGGTGGTTCGATAGCGCGGGTCCGCGTCGGCAGGCGGTCTTGTTTCCCGCCATCACTCTTCTCAGCTTGCCCGAAATCGATACAGCGCCCGTCGCTGAGTCTTGAGCACTACAGCAGGATGGCATCTGCGCTATTGATTCTATGTGGTGCTGTATCCCGCGTAGGTCACGCCTCATTGGGAGCGGGAACGAGTGGCCACTTTTTTGATCGTCGTCCTCGCACGGGCCACTGGCGAGCCTTTTGTGGTCTTTATGATTTCCTGATGCGTGTATACCCTTTCCTGAGCTCGTTAAATACTACTTTCCTCGCAGTAACGAGTTCTTCTACTATTCCCCATTCTCACTGCCAGCAGTCATGGACGAACTTCTGCGGCTTCGCGATGTTTCTGCACCCGATCCGTACTACCACTCACAAAACATCTTGATTGTCAATCCTTACCACTATAATCCACCACTTGCCGGTTTCATAGGCCTTACTCGCGTGGAAGGGCCATTTCTATCAGAGAACTCGGAAGAGTGCAGTATATCAACACGGCTTCCCCGCGTACAGGGAGACGGCAGTACGGAGAATCTGTGTTCCATTCATGTACTTTCGGATAACCGTACAGGTGAGTAAACGAGACTTATCGTCGGAATGTCTCGCTGAGAGTACCCACCGAGGCTCTGATCGTTGCATATTCTACTTGACGTGGTGCAAGCTCACTCAATTGATACACCTCGCCCTTCAGCCCCTCGACAACTGTCATGTTTTCGTGAGTAATCGCATGAATGCTGGTATCTCGTGCTGATGTTGGTCGTCATAGGTCAACGGTGACCTCTTGGATCCTAGGACGAAGCGTCCATTGAATTATGGCGATTATGTCGAGATCAGGGAGCTCGCCAGCGGAAAGCGCTGGGTATTTCAATACTGTGTTACGGCGCTGTTCCATGACCAAACGCGTAGAGAACCTTACACGCTGATTCGAAAGCTCGGGACAGGCGGACAGGGCTCTGTCTACGAGTGTGAGGAGCCAGTTACTAAGCAACGCGTAGCCATCAAGATCACTCGACGAGCTGGGCATCGGCGAACGAACTATCTTCCAAGTTTCGACGCGCTTCGTGAACTGTTCATGCTGCATTTGCTCTGGGAGCCTCGCTCTGTCCAAGAATATCGTCGGGCCTTTCCATTGAAGGGCCCGTTGGCTCGGTTCTCAAGCGCGATGCCCTCGATACCTTTCATTTCTTCCAGTGGAGGCTGGTTTGCATGGGGGTACGACCGTAAGTATGATCTCGCAACGCGCACATGAGACCGTTGAGCTCACTCGCGTGACAAGATGTTGTACTTCCCCTAGCCGTGGGCGACCTCAAACAGTGGGTTCTCAGCACGATATCGTCAACAGGTCGTCCTCCCAGTACGCTGTTATCCTTCAGTCTTCCTTGCTTGCCAGATTAACGTCGCTTAGACGATCCGCAAGTGTGTAACGTGGCGATCCAGGTTTTCGACGCGCTTCGAGTGGGTGTCTAGCTGTCCGATCCAGCGTCCTTGCTTACCCAGTGACAGTACCTACACCGGAAGGGGCTTGTTCATAACGACATAAAGCCCGATAACATACTTGTGATGGACAACACCTTCTACCCGCACGTGGTTGTGAGCGACTTGGGGCTTTGCACAAACACTTGGGAGCTCCAGGCTCTGATTAAACAGACGGTACGGCTTGAATATCGTGAACCGCCGCCGTCAACGTCAAGAACTGATGTCACATCACCAGCAAGATGCCCTTGGGACACGCATGTACCGGCCCCCGGAAGCGACAAAATCTGTTACTCGACCGTACCCAATCAGCAGCCAGAAAGCAGATATCTGGGCAGCTGGTCTCAGCCTTTACTTCACGTATGGGTATACCCTCGAGAGTCAGATATCCGTCCAAGCCACTAACGGGCTTGTTCTAGCATGACCGGACGCAATCTCTTGCCCAAAAGAGAAACCACTGTTCCTTTGGAGCACTATACGGATCAGACTTTCACACAGCACTGGAAGACGTTGCGGAAGGCCCACGTCCCGGAGAGGGGTCAGTCCATACGCGTTATTCAATGTCTACCCACTCTGAAGCTTCGCCTTATCACCTGTATAGCAATCAGCTTCATCAAACGTTGCTTAGATCTTGACGCAGAAAAACGCATGTCCGCCATGCACGCTTTCAAACTGACCTGGTTCAAGCAGTTCGAGCCCATTGAACCGCAAGATCAAGCATCAATACCACTGGCCTTCTCATCAGCCGAGGTCGTCGTTCAGCCACTGCCGGAAACAGAGGAGGGTAGACAGATAGTTGTCCCTGTCAAACGCCCTCACTCTGAGCGCACGCCGAGTATTGTGGTCGACGGCAAAGGGAAGGCTCCCGCTCGCAAGCGCAGAGAAATAGCTGCCTAATCTCGCGCATTTACGACTTCTATCACGACGGACATAGTCATGTGTATCCATAGCACGCACTGTACAATAGTGACCAATCGTCTCAGGAATGTAATGAGACTTCATGCCGCCTTGACGAAGTTCGCCAACTCCTTCATCCAGAGCTCACCACCCTCCACCCCCTCAAACAGCTCATCCAACTGCTCGCGCTTCAGATACGCGTGGTCCTCCCAGTGGAAGCCCGGGAACACGACCTCGCTGATCAAACATCCGACCTTCTCTTTGTCCGCCGACTTCAGATCTTCAGCTAGTAAGCGCGACATCTTCCAGACACCCGTGCCAACCAGTAGCTGGCGCACTTCGCCTGCACGGGCGTTGGGTCCAATGACGACGCGTTCGACGCGCGCTGGAGATGTGGATGTGGGCGGGTGGATGAGGGTGTACTCTGCGCGTCCGTGGTGTAATACGTGCATGGTCTACAGCTTGGCGTGAGTGGAAAGATGCATCGGGATATGCTGAACGAGTGCGTACAGCAGACTTGTTCATGTGAATGAAACCGTTAGGGCTATCATGAGTGAGAAGATAGTATATCGTCGTCGAAAGTGGGCGCAGTTGGCCATCTACACGTTGCACATGCATCAGCGAGTGGGTTCAAAACGCTTATGACAGGGCGACGCACTTGCGAATGGACTCGGCACCATTTGCTCCTGCCTATCCGTCTCGGCGAAGTAACCTGAATGGGCGACGCGATCAGACGTCGTTGAACGCGGATACAATATAGGCCGCGGACGCGCCTCCTTCGGGATGCTTAAGCAGTTCCAGGTCCTCTACGAGCTCGGCGGTGGGCGGGAAGTGCGAGAAATCCATAGTGCGTGTTTGACGGCGAGGTAGGGTGTAGCTTGGGGGTAGGTTGTGCGGGGACCGACGCGACGGGGGTATGGTGCATAATTCGGCGCGCCGTATCAAGCTTATATCTCCTCGGCGGAGGGGCGCGTTGCGCGATTATGATCGGGACCTGGTAAGACCAATGACACACCGCAGTCGTATGGACCGGGTTGGGCGGTGAGGTTAGGAGGGATGGGTATATGGGCGCGGTGTTCCAGCATCTCCATGCGTTCGGTCTAGCGTCGGGGATGCGTGGATCTGCGGTACATGCGCAAGGATTTGAATGGGGAGACGATGTAGCGAGGGTGATCGCAGTGAAGGTTGAGAGTAGTTGTGTAACGAGGTGGTCCTCACACCAGCGATATATCAACCATGAGGAAGATCTGCACAAAAGCATCCGCGTGGAGGTTGCGAGTCAACCCGGTCTCGTCGCGCCGATACGTATTCGTCTGAAGTCTTCGAAGCGAGCGCCTTCACTGGGCTGACGGCGCGTTCCCTGCATTGAGAGGAGACTTTCCAGCCAGCTCCTTGTCCAGTAACTTCTGTACAGCTTTGATCGAGTTTTCGCGTGCAGTGATCAGCCGTTTGGCTTTCTTTACGTCCGCACCCCGTCGCAAGTCGGCGTAATCCTGCGCAGGTTCAAGCTTCCTCTTCTTAGCGAGAGGTTCAGGTTCGGCATCAGCTGCGCTGGGAGTGGGTGCTGGATTGGCACTATCTGGTGCAGACGGGGTTGAAGCTGAAGCGATCGCAGCTGAAGCTGAAGAGCTTGCGTCGCGCGCGGGCGTGGGCTCGGCAGCTTTGGATGCGCGAACGGATTCAAGTTTATTACGTAGACGGAGTAGCGTTTCGTCGAGAGCTATCAGAGTAGCGATACAATCGTCCAGCTCATCCTTTACTGCGAAAGCGCGACAGACTTCCCGGGTGCAATCTTCAATATGCTAATACAGATTTCAGTTCCTGGACAGTCGCAGGTGTGCAGAGTGTACTGACTGTAAACCTGGCCGGGCCCAGCATCACTCCTCCGTACCACCGGCTCACAATGACCACTGCATCTATGACTCCTGTATCCTTCATGACCTTCAAGATCTTGGAACCAGCCCATGACTCCCCATCATCCTCGATTCCCTCCTCGACCCTAAAGTCATCCTCGCCCAACCCATCCCGTCCTTTCTTCAACGCCATACACCTATACGCGTATATCTCATGACTAGCCGGCTTCTTCGCGTGGCTACGCTTCAGATGGGCCTGAGCAGCTCGAGCCTGTACTGCAGTTGCAGCGCGGTATATATGGCCAACAAATATGGACTCTCGGTCTTCGATTTCGGTAGAGGTAGCAATGCATTCTGGCGGCGGCGCGGAAGACGTGATGAATGAGTCCAAACCAGACATGATGGTGGCACCAACCAAAGAGGTAGAGGCTTTACCAAACCCAAGTCGTGAGAAGAATTCGCCGCGCCCACGAGTGACGCGAACAAGTCGACGCGGTCAGGCGCCCGCCAGTCGCGCTGGCGCGGTTTGCACTCGGCCTTCATGCTCGCCCGTCGCCTGTCACCACCTGCATCTGCAGCGCGAAATATACGCGTAGTACGACTATACAGTACTATACCCTCGCGTCATACTGCCCAGACTACCGCTTCATTCCCATCTCGCTCGTCAAAGTCTCGGAAAGCGCCTTCACGGGCGCAAACCTCAGCCAAGAAACATGCTACCGAAAATGCGCGGCCAACACTCCCAAACCGCTACTCGGATGTTGCGCGAGAGGAATCACAGGAGACACTGCGACGGACATTGAATTTCCAAGTTGAGGGCGGTATCTCCTCTATGGAAGATGCCTTGACAGTTTGGCGCGCCCTGGAAGGGAAGTACGGTCCATTACGGGATATCATGTTTCTTAGGGTATGTCATCATCCTTCATATATCCTGCTTAAGCTAATTGTATGCGTTAGGACCCAGTCAACAAGCTGAAGCTCGCGCCTTCATGCATCGCACTCTTCGACAAGCCATTCCCGCCGGATTTCGACTACGCTGCGCAGACCTTTGCTGTTGAACTGCCAACGGAAGTTCCGGAGAATGGAGGTCCAGGTATTGCTGCCATCCACAAACTGCTCAGCGGGCCTTCATACACTGTCGACGTCCCGAAGTCCCAAGTGGAAACTTCAGAGCCGTCTGACACTTCAGCGGATGATACTACCTCGTCTCCTCATCACGCACAAGCCTTTTCGCTGCGGGAAAGTTCAGGCAGTAACCCACGCATCGTCACCGTGAAGGGCTCCCGGCCAAGTGCGCATATTCAGTATTGTATCTATCTTATATTCAAATTCTAACCACGATGTTGCTAGACTCGCCGTACCGAGTTCGGTACAGTCCGGACGCACCAAGACCGGCATCGCATTTGGGACCACAACACTCCTTCGCTCGGCTATGGGCTGCCTTTGGTGGGTTTGCGCCGTCAGATGCGCCTCCAAACATGCGCATGGCGCGCACCATGGAAGTGGCACGCGAGTTCGTAGTGGCGCATGCACAGGATGCACCGGTCGTGGCCGACGACAGGATCCAAGAGCTCATTGATGCTGCTCAATTATCTCAACCTCTACCTGAGACTGCCGATGCTCCTCCTGTGCTCGAACTTGAGGAGACGCGATCCCATGCCACGGTGGAGACGATTCACGAAGATGCGCTTCCCTTGGAGGAAGACTCTAGTGCCGACGAGCCTCTGGAGCGCTCATCCTGGTCGCCTATCACGTCCGACCCTTCAACTCTCGTCAGCGCCGTGGGAGGACGAATCTCTACGCGCGGCATTCAGTTGTCGAAGGAGGAGCGCATGGAACAACAAGCGCTCGCAGCACTCGAGAAAGCGCGCGCGGCGGAGGCCGCAGAGAAGGCGCGGGTGGCGGCGCTTAATCGGAACACGCGGGCAGCGAAAGCTGCTGCAGCTGAGAAGGAGAAGAGGCATTCAAAGAAGCAGGAGATGCAGCGCGCAAAACGTACCGCGGCTGGTTCTCCTACGAAGAGTGCAAAACTACCGGTATCGGGTGCGAGAGCGGCTCAGCGCCCTACAGCCTCGCAGCCGAAGGCGGCGGCACCGGCTGGCAGTGAGGCGCCGAGGCAACCTGCGACATCGGCACCGGGCCAGCAGGATCGGCCCGCACAGCGCAAGGGTCTATTGGGCAGGTTGCTCGGATGGTAGCACAGACATTCTGTCTTTGCCTTGCATAGACTCATAGAGTACATTTTATTCACATTTAATAAGAGCGCCTCCTACATGGCCGCCCACCACAACTTCAGCCTCATGGATGAATGGCTTGCGTAACAGCGCCGAGCAGACATCGCAACATTAGAGCAGGGACGCTGTGTACAGCCACGGCTGTGGCGCAAGGGCTCGCCATGGCGGCCGGTGTTGGCGAGTGCGGCGGCGCGGAAGTGCGCCCGAAGACTCCGAGCCCTCAAAGCGGTCCGGCGGGGCCGGAACAGGAAACGCGCGCTCGCCGGTCGTGGCGCGTTTCGCTCTCGACGTCGATGTGGTCAATGCACCGATCCCAGAGCACTGCATGTCTGTGCTCAGGACTTGTTCGACATGATAAGATCCATGATCAGAATCTGTTGACTCACCTGCATGGGTTCTACGGCGTCTAAGGCGTCGTTACAGCTACCGACGCAAAGTCCCGACCTGGAAGTGCCGATAGAGCTAGGATAATGCGGTCGAGAACGGCGCTCACTCGCCGTGTGGCTACGATTCTCCGGCGTTCTTCTCATGACTCTGGACATAGCCTGGCCAGTCATATGCTTGTTGTTCTGCAGAGAGTATACGGTGGGGCTGTCTGTGGGGTACTGTCAGCTATAGCCCAACGCTATCGTGCTTGATCAGTACTAGGTTCGAAGACCGCCACGGCGCGTGCTCGCACAATACGGGCTACACGGACCCAAAATACGACTATCTCATGCCCAAATCATGTTCCGCGAGGCCTGCCTTTGACGCGGGGGTTGCTGGCCGGACTCCCATGCGGCCATCGAACGGGCTCACAGGATCATTAGGTCAGGATCTCACTTCAGGCGGGACTTCAAGAAGGCCATAACGCGTTCGGAGGTTCTGCTCTTCCCTTCCTGGACACCTCTCACAGTCTACTCAAGCTGTCATCATCCTCTCTTCCCTCTAGCCCTCCATCCTCCGCGATGCCGGAGAGGGCACCAATGATGAGCGAACGTTCGGGCCTGGCGCGTTCGCCATTGAGCGCGGCGGGTAGTCCGGACGATAGTCCATACGCTTTTCCTGCCAGGTCCCTCGGATATGCGAACTCGGGCGCCTCGACACCAGCCCGCAGTGGATCCTTTTCGGCGCCCTACATGCGTGGGTCGTTGGCCAGCTATCCGGCCAGTGTAGTGCGTGCACTTGTCTCTTCGTCGTATATGAAGTCCTGAAGTCGACCATGTAGGATAGCACGGGTGAACGGCCCCATGTGAGGAAGAGCGTGCTCGCGGAAGAGGTGTGTAGCGATAAGCTACTGTGGGAACGATCGCTCACAACGTCTTCAGTACCTCCTCCCCTCAGATCCACGGTTATGGTCGGACTACCGCGGCGTCGAGATCGACGACGCGATGCACGACCCCGAGAAGAACCTCCCGCCTCGTGGCTCGCCGTTCTCCTGGCGTACTACAATCGATGTCACTTTCGTCTTCATCGTCGGGGCGGGTATCATCATGCTGTTCCTCGGTTACCCTGTGTTGCAAAAGACGATTGGGCTGAACGAGGATCCACCATTGAGCCGCGGCAACTCGCTGGGTACGATAACGAACGCTACGGGACAAATACCCAGCATGCGTGGACGCTTCTCCGTTATTGACCCCGATACACCTCCCGAAGCTCTCACCCGACCGAGCTACATGGATAACACTCAGGACATGCAGCTGGTGTTCTCAGACGAGTTCAACACCGATGGTCGGACGTTCTACCCTGGAGATGATCCCTTCTGGCATGCGTGCGTGCTTTTCCTCTCACGATGCAATTTGTGGCTGACGGTTGAAACAGGGAGGACTACCACTGTAAGTCCCTTTCTTAAGCCGCGCTCACACTGTCTGTCTGACGATGCGATCCAGACTGGGGTACGAGCGACTTGGAATGGTAAGCGTGTTGCTCTGTGAAGTAGGCGGTCCGCTCACGCCGGCGTGGGTAGGTACGATCCCAAAGCTATCACAACAAAGAACGGTGCCCTGGAGATCACGATATCAAAACATGCCGAACATAACTTGAGCTATACTGGTGCGCATCACCAATCTGGTCGTATCTAGCCAGTCGCTGATTGCGCGTCCGACTTTTATAGGTGGCGTACGTTCCCGCACTACCGTTCTATCTCTTTAATGCAAACTGAAATACCCATAGTTGATGTCGACGTGGAACAGTTTCTGCTTCACCGGGGGTATCATTGAGGCAGCGGTGACTTTGCCGGGCTCCCCGAACGTCCAGGGTCTCTGGCCCGCGTTTTGGATGCTGGGAAATCTGGGACGCGTTGGGTATGGCTCCACGACGGATGGACTCTGGCCGTACAGCTATGGTGCGTCCACATTGGTTCTTCCGCATGACTTGCTCCTGAGCGTATGATAGACTCATGTGGTATGTCCCAAGACACCCTTCCACGTCTCCCGCCTCTAAATGTAGAGCAGACTACGGCACACTGCCCAACCAGACGCTCGGGAATCAGCCGCCAGGCGCGTTCACGAAAGGTGGAGGCGACCAGTATGCAGATGATCACCTGTCGTTCCTTCCTGGGCAACGATTATCGCGGTGCACATGCGGCGGCGCAGATCACCCGGGGCCGAAGCATTCGAACGGAGACTATGTCGGACGTTCTGCTCCAGAGATTGACGTCTTCGAGTCCCAGGTGCGCCGTTTGTACTCGGGTTAGCGCATCAGGATGAACGCTCACGCGTCAAACTCAGGCTTCGAACGCGGCAGGTCTTCCTGGGAACGTCAGTCAATCGGCCCAATTGGCTCCCATGAACGGTGAGCCCCTTTTCATACCGAAAGACGCGAGGTGCTCATAGACATTGCTTAGACGGCTACTTCTACTACAAGTGAGTCTAGGATCATGCCATGGCCCTAGCTTCACCGTACTCACTACTCCTTACAGCGGTACCGGAAACACGACTATCTATGACCCTACGATCACGAGCTATAACTCTTACCACGGGGGCGCCTACCAACAAGCGATCTCTGCACTTACGAACTCCAGTGAGCGCACCTCTTTTGCTCCCCGGTGTATCTGTACATTGACACGATTGTTCCAGATCAAGAGTGTTATGAGCTTGAGAGCAAGTGCTTTGCAACGTATGCAGTCGAGTACAAACCTGGCTTCGATACCGGGTACATCACCTGGATCGGCAACGACAAGCCAAGCTGGACCATCAGGAGTAGTGCCTTCGCTCCGGATCCTTTCGTAGAGATTGGAGAGAGGCCAATCGCGCAAGAGCCTATGGTAGACGCGTTTATGTTCTGTCATCAGCTCAAAACGCTCACGTTCCCTTCACAGTACATGATCTTGAACTTGGGCTCTGCTCCAGGTTTCCAGCAGATTGAAGATGGCTTGCAGTTCCCCGCGAAGATGCGTGTCGACTACGTTCGCGTATACCAGCATCCAGAGACGATCAACTACGGTTGTGACCCAGCAGGCTTCCCTACGATGGACTACATTGCCAGGCACGTCCACTTCCTCGCAATGCCGACATAGCCCTAACTGAGACGTTTGCTAGGCATCCTGAAGCGTATCAAAATCCGAATCATACACAATGGAAGGACGCTGGATATACTTTCCCCAAGAACAAGATGCTCGAGAAATGCTGATACCACCTCGATGCCCCGATTCCCCCGCACGCACGATCTTATTATACCTTTCCACTGGTTCTTAGGCCTTGGATGTTATTGTTATCTGCTACTTTGCTGCACGGACATGGACTACTACCTCAAGGACTATACATGTACCATAGTATACGATAGTTGCTATTAATAGTATAGAATGGATGTTTTCGGGCTAATACCGGTCGTTCATTGACAGATGCGCGTTTCACGGGCGACAGCGAGCCCTATGAGCGGTCCAAAGCAACGGAGGAAGGCTCGAGGGGGACGGCCACTGGACGACTAGTTGACTCGCCCGAGTACAGTCGGCGTACTCAAAGAGTACTCAAAGTCAATGCTACACGGTTCCGCACCTATATGGGTAAACGTTATCTCTCGGCTTCTGCCGCGCCGCGTGCATTCATCATTCGGAGGCTGATGCTGCTTTTGCTCCCGACGATCAACTGCAGCCATTCATGCCTCCTGCTTCTGGAGTTCTGACACGTCCAATAGGCGCTACTGGCTTTCCTAACCAGGAGAGAGGGTTTCTATGTCTGAAAATGCTCCTGCACTCGAACTCCTTTGACCCCCGCTATCCTGAAGTATCCGAGTCCTTGCTTGTCCATGTCGGAACATATTGTCGCAACATGATCGTGCCTCGGTAGAACGTGCCGCGCAGAATTTCGTATATGTCGACGTCATGAACTGCGATAAAGCGAAAACAGTAGCTCGAGACCGTGTGCGTGTGCAAAAAGAACGAGTGCGAGGTACGGGCGAGGCAGAAGCTTCCTTGACGACCTCAACTGTCGCTCGTCTTCAGCCACCACCACGGTCTCTCGCTGTACACTTTTCTGACCTCGGTCCTGTACTCGTCGTTCGCCATGTTCAAGTCCGTTGCTGCTGTTGTATGTAACTACTCGACTTCTCCGTCGAGCGCCAAAACTCACGTGCCGCCGTGTTCACCAGGTCCTCGCCTCTGCATGCGCCGCCAGCGCGAAGAACATCTACATCCAGGTGGCTAACAACGTCGTATGTCAAATCTATGCTCTCTCGATCCCGTGCACACAGTCTGACCGTACTGTAGTCGGCGACGAATGGCACGAGCGTCTTCACGCCCCAAACTGTGACAGCGAAGCTCGGTGACATCGTCTTCTTCAACTGTGAGGATTTCCATTCTTCGCGATAAGGCCTGTCTTCTAACTGCGCATAGTCACCGAGGGGAACCACACGGCGACGCAGTCGACCTTTGACGCGCCCTGCCTCTCCGCCCACGAGCACAACATCTCGCTCAACGGCTTCGACTCGGGCTTCCAGGTCGTGCCCAACAACTCATTCCTGCAGTCGTCGGTCCCGATCCTCGAGTCGAACGTCAACACGACCTTCTGGTTCTTCGACTACAACACTTGCGGCATCGGTGGTGTCGGCGCCATCAACTTCAACGCCAGCAGCACCGAGACGATTGAGGGCTTCGTTCGCAACGCTGAGCGCCTGAACGGCACCAGCGCTACGTCGACCTCCGCAAGCCCTTCCTCGACGTCGCCGTCCAGCACTGGCTCTTCTGCCTCGTCGACCACCACTTCGTCGTCGAGCGGTGCTGAGCAGATCACTCTTGCCAACGTCGCTTTCGTGGCCCCTCTCCTCCTCGCTGGCCTCGTGCTCTAAGAGCCCCCCGTGCATGGTCTTCCCCCCTCATAGAAGTTTTCTTTCGAACGATTTTCATGTCTTGGTCCTTTACCTGTGTATATCCCACGTTCCTTTGGCTCCGGCACCCGCTTTCGGCTCCGTCCCTGCGTGCCTCCGCGTCCTCCGACACAACTTGATACCCTCCGCTTGGTCGTGTGCTCTACCGCTGTATACACGTGTTGTCCCTCTGCTTTTGTTGTCTTCATGTACACACAGTGATACGGGTGCATTCACCCCGCCCTCCTATACGTAATACCATCGAGCAAGCGCTCTGCGTTTGATACCTCACACCATACTGCATATCATGCGTATTGTTTTCCCATCCAGGAGATGAAGTCGTCCATGTCGAAACCGACTAGACGCTCTCGCGCCATGGTCAGTGGTTACTGGTCTCCACTCGCATGATCAAGGCATTTCTCCAGGACTTCCGAGGTTACCGTGTACTTATAGCTCATTGAACCCATCGTGCGGATGCAGTTGCCAGAAAGCCTGCTGCTACACATTTTCGCTAGGGAGCCCCAGTGCTCCCGGCGGTACCATGCATCCGAGTTGGCACGGGCATCAACGTGTTATCCATCCTTTATCATACAAGCAACAAAGGCCTGGGTATACGGTGCATTGTGTGTGCTGTATGGTAAAGCGTATAAGTGATGGCAGCAAGCAGGGGTACATGCATATCGGAGGGAGCGGAGCGAACAGATTGTAGCATATGAGTAAAGACAGACATTGTGATTGGTAGCCGAAGAGAGGTATAGATCGGAGCAGAACAGATGAGAGAGCGAATGGATGATTAGAAGTAATATCGTCCAGGCAGAACAAGATAGTACAGCATATGCAGACCACTACCCTCTTCCCGTGCACGAGCCACGCGCACGCTCGCCGTACTCCGTGGGACTGTACCGCGTGCATTGTCCTGTATTGGCAAACGCGCGGGTAGGCTCATGCGTCGGGCCCGGGCGCCGCGAGTTGAATATGAGAAGATGCTCGTTGACACTCGCTGAGGGACCCGCGCGTTCGCAGTTCCACCACGCGCGCTCGCCGCACCAGGTCGTACATCATCATTTCCGTGCGACGGGAACACAATGGCGGGAACATCGCCTTTGCGCGCCGTGAATACACTTCTCGCGCGCCTCCGCTTACGACTCTTGCGAGACGCCTGCGAATCGAGAGATGCGCGGTGCACACTCGCGGCTTCGAACGCCTCTCGAAGAATCAGCACCCGTTCCGGAGTTGGTGCCCGAGCAGGAGAAGGCGACGCGTCCCCCAGCTCCGGCGACCGCGCGCGCCGTGGCGAGGTCGTCCGACTCCGCCTCCGACCGCGCGCGTCCGGGGTTAGCGTGCTCTGCCCCTCGGGTCGGCCATCTGAAAATCCTGCGATATAGAGAGGCGCTCGCGCTCCTTGTCCTTCCGCGACGACGACGGTATAGGCAATGACATTGCCTCGTCCGCTGACATCGGTGCCTGCCGCGCTGTCTTGACGCTGCGCGCAGAGCGCTTATGTTTGATTGTTTGAACGTGTGCCTGTAGCAGAGCCAATTTGTCCCGAAGCGGCTGAACCTCCTCTTCAACGACGGCGTGAATACGTGCGCGAGCGTTGTCTCGTGGGTTTCGCACTTCGTCGCTGTGCGGGCGGGGTTTCTCGAAAGGAATATCGTGAGCGGTTGGAACAATGAGTGCGGGGATAGGTGGGGGCGGAGAAGTGTGCCGTGTGGACGTCGATTGCCTCGGCGGTGCTGGCTCAGACGGTGAGCGCGAGGGCCTCTTTGTCAAGACAGCAGTAGCGGGTGCAGGATTGGAGGTCTTGGACGCCGACTTCTTATGTTGATGACGGTGTTCCCGATGCTCGTAACCCACTGGCATCAGGTCAACTAGATAGTGAGTAGTGATGAGCTGCAGACTACAAGATAGGTACGATTCTGGAACGTACCAGCCACGGGTACCTCTATGTTCCTTGCAACCAGAGCAGCCCAAGCCCGACATGCCGCAATGTCGCTTGTACGCAGGAGTGCGGGGTTCCGAAGTGCATGTGCTTCAATGTCACCCAGCAACCGGAAACATTCTCGTACGTCCTCGAGCGAAGTCGGTAGTTGAAACGACGGCAAGAGATATATCTCGCTTAGAGGCTTCGGCAGTATAGGCGGGTCCAGGCTGCAGGTATATGGCGCTGCCGGAGGCATAGCGAATGCGTTGACGAACACGGGTGAAGGTAAGAGGCGAGTCTAGAAATGAAGTGCCTGTTCGGAATGCGCGGTCGTGGATGCATATGGGTCCAATCCTCCGCGTTGGTGGCCTCGTATCAAAGGCACAGTTGTGATCGGCCCGGTCAACGTCTGTGGCGCAGGATCAGGCTGTCGACTGATGCGACGTCGAGACTGCAACGCGGCGGGGCGCGGCTTTGCCCACTCCAAGGCTTCCAGCTTCTAAACGCCACCAAGCGAGAGTTGCCTCTTGACCACCACCAAGTCTCCTCGTAGACCTTCTCCGGGATTACCAACTTTTGGCGCAGTTAACTGACCTGAACACCGAACGCACTGGGCACGAGACTGGGATCATGAGCTCTCCAAGCAGGCGGATGTCTATCTCAAGTCCGAACCTTAACCCGCGCAGCCTCAGCCCTACTCTACCTCGGCTCGTCGTAGCCCCCAACGACGATAGCGAAGAGTGGATTGCGAGTTGGACGAATACGCATGTCGAGGGTGTGTGGAGCGGCATAGCCTCGCTGATGGCACTTGCTTACCGTGGATTTTCTGTCATATTCAGAGCTCATCGACGGTGAGGTGGTGGAGGTCGACGCAGATACGACGGTCGAAGATGCTTGCGAGGTTAGTATGAACTTAAGAATGGACGGGCTGCTAACCAACGAGCTCCCTTATAGCTTCTTCTCTCCAGTGATGTTCCATGTCTACTTGTAAAGGCGCCAGTGGACTCTTCCGACGGACCGCATGCTGGGCTCTTTGATGTGGGTCTGGTATTGCCATTTGAGTGGGCACGACTGATGGAAGCTGTCAGTTTGCGGACGTCAATGCTTTCTTGACCTCGGCAGCGACACGACATACATATACACCCGAATTCATCGCTGAGAACCCTCGTGTAGCGCGCGTGCTTGAGGCCGCGAAGACCGGTCGCGTTCCTGTCGGGATCGTGTCCAGTTCGTAGGGCTACTATCTCATCTCGCAGCCGCTGACGCCCATCCTCAGATCTCTCCGGGAAGAATCCGCTTCACGAGTTGGCAGCTGATGCCAACATCATCGACTTATTGAAGATATTCTGTACCGGAGCGCATCGAGGTAGGACATCTGTCATTCCGGAATGCATGCTTTCTCACCTGTCCTCTCAGTCCTTATCAAGTCTCCTCCCGGAACAGCCGGTACCCGCACCGGAATGGTATCAGACATCCGATTATTGGCCTACTTCGCGTCATTCGCGAAGCCTGCGCCATCCATGCCGCCATCCCCCATATCGCCAGTTCCGCGACAAGCGCGCAGTCCATACTCTCCATCCGTGTCTTCGTCATCTACATTCCAGCGATACCTCGGCAACGCACTACAAGCACTACCCCTCCCATCTCTCGACCTTGGAACCGATGTCATTGCTTTGCGTTCATCCGACTCGGTGTTGGACGCGATGAAGCAGATGAGCGAAGCAGGCGTCAGCTCTATCGCGGTGCTTGACGCTGAAACGGGCGCTCTACTGAGCGCAGTGAGTGTTACGGACGTCGGGCGAGTGCTGATCCCAAACCAGATGAAGGAAGCATTAACTGCGCCGCTGCACACATTGATCTCGCATATCCGGTATCCGCTCGGTGAGACAGATGGTGCGGAGCGGTATCCAGTCTACAGTGTGCTACCTTCTTCGACACTGTCGTACACCATACAAAAGTTACTCGCTAGTACGTGGTCATTTCACTATGATGTTGATATTTGGCTTACGAGCAACACAGCCGGTGCTCATCGTGTCTTTGTGACTTTGGACCCAGAGACATCAGCGTCCCCTAGCTCGCTGAGCCCCATAGGAAACCTAAGTGGAGTCGTATCGATCGTCGATAGTACGTGCTCAGCGTTTCTCTGCTGTACAGCCTGAGCCTGATTATGCTCACAGTCCTCGCTCTCTTCGCGCGCCTCGCAAATGTACACGATGATGATTCTCGACGAGGTCACCGCCACCGGCGTGCGTCCTCGGCATCGAGCCAGAACTCGTTTTCTGGGGCGAATGCAGACCTTCGCAGGAACGTCTCAATTGGAAGTGGAAGGAGTGGCGGTTTGCGAGTCTGAAACTTGATGATACAGTGCTAGTATGAGATACCAACGCTATATGGCTGCCCACGGATCGTGTCTGCATCATCGTAGCTGCTAAGGCTCTACATTCTTGCGTGTGAGAATTTGAAGACGTACAAGACACATCTCATGTGACCGCGTCGTTGCCGGTAACGAAGAGGTTGCCGAGCGCTTTCGACGCATCCTGCTCCCTCCTTCCATCTTGCCTTCATGGCAATCATTGCATATGCAATCTTTTAGACTTCGTGCTTCGTTGACATTCACGTCCGATCGAGATCGATCATACTTGATGCTGTCAAGCCCCACTGGGCAAGTGCCAGAGTGGATGTGGTCAGAAATTGGGTATCAGGTCGGCTCGCGACCTTGTCGCGAAGGGATGTCGCTATACATGCAGCGAAAGCGCTTTCATGGTGAGGCTCACAGACGTTGAAGCTTATGAAAGTGCGTTTTCCTTTATCTATGACTCCAGAATATGTGAACTAAAGACTGCAGTATCAACACAGGATTCAGTAGCGTTAGACTCCGGATGACCATGTACACACGCTGCGCACTCGCCACAAGCGGACACAATCGAGACATTCATGAAGTCACCATGCTGCGCCTGTACCTTTGAGTTGTATATGACATACGAAACGGATGTCTCTTCCGCCCGTGCACGCAGCAGCCAGCTCTTCATTCGTCGGCAGCTCATCACAGGCCAGATCGGGTGGCCCAAAGCTTACATTCCTGATGGGCTTTCGGACAGGCTCCGGTCCTTGCACGCCCTGCAGCGAGCGACGAGCATGAAGAGGAGCAAGCGGCTAGCCAGATGAGGTCGCGACTCGTATCAGGAACGAGGTTCACAACGTTATACACAAGACAGGCTGTTTAGGCATCACGCCACATACGGTCCTTGCAGATGACCTATCCTGTATGTGCTTGTGACGCCATGCAGCTGGTATATCCAATCGCTGATCCACCGGGCACCGATCGCCCGGTCACGGGTCCTATTGTGTACACTAGCGGTCTTCGCGACAACCCAACGTGAGCGCGTACTTGCTCTGAACTACATTGATCACGCCTGTACTGAGCAACCCATGACCGTAAACAGCGCCTGTGATTACGCTCGCCTCCTTATTCGTGGTAGAGTTCTGAGTCGGATGCCAGTTATGCACTCGATCACCGCAAACGGAACGCCGAGGTCATCATGAACGCCAACGTCCGGAGTTAAGGCCCGTCTAGCGCAGTATATATTGGAGGTCTGCCGCCGGGACCCACGCCGAGCTTGGTTCTTCTCCCCCACTCGAGACTGATCATGAAGCTCACATCACTCTCGTCGACCCTTTCCATCGGCGCGGGACTTGCAACGCTCGCAGCCGCAGGTCCTACGAAGAGAACCAGTCCTACCGTCAAACTCGATGATGGGACGTTCACTGGTGTGGCAGCTGAACAGGTCAACAAATGGCTCGGGATACCCTTCGCCAAGCCTCCGTGCGCACATCTTCATCTTAAGCACACGAGACACACCGGCTAACAATATTGTTGACAAAGGGTCGGAGATCTACGTTTCAGCTTACCCGAACTCGTTGATCCTTACGCCGGCACCTACACCGCTACCACTTTCGGACCTGAATGTCCCCAGCAGTCCGGTGACTCGCCGCCTGTCTCTCTGCTCCCAGCAGAGACCCTCGAATTCGTCGCCAATCTGACAGCCGGCGCTACCGTGGATGAAGATGAGGACTGTCAGCGAGATGTGCATGTCCTATGGGTCGAGCTTGGGCTGACGGTGCCCACAGGCCTCACGGTCAATGTCATCGCACCTCAGGGCATCAGCACGAAGTCCAAACTGCCGGTTGTAGTGGTGGGTGCGCGTACTACATCCCGTCGCACTGTCTAACGGCCATCTTCCACAGTGGATATACGGAGGTTTGTCATGGTAGCCATGCTCTTCTGGTGATCAATTATCGACAACCTGCGTTCTTATTAGGCGGATTTGAGACCGGAAGCTCCGCAAGGTACGCTTGTGGCAGAGTCCTTCCCACGTCAGCAACTCATACACTGCTAGCTATGACGGTACCGTCATTGTCGAGAGGTCTATTGCCATCAACGAGCCTGTGATCTATGTCAGTTTGAATTATCGGTACGTTCTCCGTTCCCCTGATTGTCACATGTTCTGACAAAAGGCATCTGTAGTTTATCTGGTCGGTCGCTGAATCGTGATCCTCCCTTTCTTAAAGCTAACTCGATGGGTGTAGCGTGGGGATTCATCGCTAGTCAAGAGGTTAAGGACGCTGGTGTGACAAACTTGGGCTCTCGTGACCAGCGGATGGCGCTACGATGGATACAGAAGTACATCTCTCATTTTGGCGGTGACTCGAGCAAGGTGACCATATGGGGTGAATCTGCCGGCGCGCTCTCTGTGGGCGTGCAGATGGTTGCAAACAACGGCAACAACGAAGGTCTCTTCAGAGCAGCATTCATGATGAGCGGCAGGTAAGGACATTGTCAACGCACGTATGTGTACCTTCACTCAAACTCCTGACATAGTCCTCCACCCGTGGGCGACGTTTTGCACGGTAAGCTCATACACCGCTTTATTCGTATGCTTGGATGCTAACTGGCTTACTTAAAGGTCAAAAGTACTACGATGCTCTCGTGAACGCCACCGGCTGCTCGGGTAGCTCTGATACCCTACAATGTCTTCGTGAGGTGCCGTACGAGGAGCTCAAGGAAGCGGTTAATCAAGTACGTCGGGACAGGACCTTTGTTACCCAACACATCTCATTCACCTCGCGTTGATCAGGGTCCCAACATCTTCGCCTACCAGGTTCGTAGAAACTCGGCGCAAGTCTGTGCGTATGCTGACATCCCCAAAGTCTCTAGACGAGGCGTACCTCCCTCGCGTCGATGGCGATTTCCTCACGGATAACCCCCAGAAGCTGGTCCAGCGAGGCAAGATAGCCAACGTCCCTTTCATCACTGGTACATGCTATCATTGATACGTCGGTATGTAATGTTGGACTAACGGAGCGGTGCTTTCTTATCATAGGTGACTGCGACGACGAGGGCACGCTTTTCAGCCTGTCTAACTCGAACATCACGTCAGTCCTGCCCTTGCTCGAAACTCACGCAGTACTTACTACTTTCAGGACCGAGGATGAGCTCAAAGAGTACATATTGACATATTACGCGCCCGGTGCTACGGATGCGGAGATAAAGGCTCTTCTTGCTGCATACCCGGCAGACGTGACGAAAGGTTCTCCTTTCGACACAGGCGCCCTCAATGCCATCACGCCGCAATTCAAACGCCTCGCCGCCATGCAGGCGAGTAATCCCCTCTATCTACGCGTCATAGTACTGATATTGACGCACAGGGAGATTTCGCATTCAATGCTCCTCGTCGCTTCCTGTTGCACCAGCGAGCTTCCAAGCAGAACGCGTGGTCTTACCGTGAGTGTTTCTCCTCGAGCTGTGCAAAGTCGACTGAGCACCGTCTGTAGTGAGCAAGCGGTACAAAACTCTTCCGGTCCTCGGCTCCGTACGTATTTGCTACTATCTCATATACCTAATATGGGCTGACATCTTTCCCCAGCTGCATGCAACGGACATTCTCAACATCTACGGAGACGAAGAGCTTACCGAATATCTCGTTCGATTTGTAGCGAAGCTCGACCCGAACGGCGGCTCATTGAAGAACTGGCCGAAGTACTCGACTAGTTCCCCAACCCTTATGACGTTCCTTGACGGTCTCACCCCGACGAAACTCACTTCGGACACGTTTCGCACTGCTGGATTTAACATCCTCACGCAGCTCTCCTTGAAGTATCCCCTGTGAAGCCACCGCCACACAATATCTCTCATCTTAACGCATTGGACACTTATCACCACGGCTTGAAGCAGACAGCACTCGATGTTCATACCTTATATCTGACCCGATGACGGTTTGATGCGATTCTTTGACCACTCAGACCCGTTGTATACGTTAGCCTTTGTCTACATGCTGTGCCTCGGTGGAGGTAGATGCATACAGGGATTTGCTAAGGCTGAGACAGCACGAGCAACGCAATGGCGCGTCGATGGCTGGTGGTGAGAATACCCCACGTGACCGTGATGATAGCTCACCGGAAGTTGCCGCCGGGGCCGACGTCAATGCGGTGCACGGTGTCGTCTCGCGTTCCCATCCTCCATCTTCCCTTTTGCTGCCGATTACATTTGCTCCCACATCCGGTACCGGCGTTGCTTCGACTTCGAAGGTGTCAATGTAGGTTGCAAACTCCAAGAAGCTTGGATGCCGCGCACTCTCGGATTACAGGCTAGAAGTGTGATGCAAGCTGCAGTCATGTCGTGGTCACCCGGACCAGTGATAAGTATCTAAATAATCGCTTGATGTACCTGCCGTTGACCTCTACCATATTATGGGCCTTTCAATACATTCCAACCCTTTTGTCCCTGACATTGACTCCTGAGAACGGCATCTAGCCCGACTGACAACGTCTCAATGCTCGCGTCAAGCATGCAGGACTCTGGCGTCCTTCTGCGGTTGCTACGGCTCTCTGCACGCGATTGGGACTGTGCCCTGTACCCAAGGATGGATATCCACGCGGGGAGCTCTCTTATACACAGTACAAGAGGCGAGGGCCCCAACGCGCGCCTGTACACTATGCTGCGCCTGGCCAGTGGTGAATACGTACGGTAGTCGCGCGGTCCGGGTTCGAAACGTACGCTCTACTACCGACAGACGAAGCATCCGAGTCGGAGATGGATAGCTTCGATGAAGCAACAGCAGACATGCGGATGCGATTCTTGATTACCTTGCACGGCCAGTAGCTCGGGTTTGCCTTTCTCGTACATCCCTTGTATCTGGACGCGCGGCTCTTGACAATCGGACATCATGCCAAAAGGACATAACTCGCGCCCCTCTGCCGACGCACAGATGGACAATGATGAATGTCATTCCGACCGGGATACAGCAGACCACTGACTTGACTTAGCAGGCACCAATAGTACCTTAGCCTTGGGGAGATTCGCCGAAGTTTACAAAGAGGATGTACAGTACTTCCCTTGTGCGCATCTACTCGCGATCTTTATCCTCTCACCAGACTGATGACGAACGCTTTCTCGACGTCATGACTTTCTTTAGCGTCCAATTGCTGATTTCCAGATTAGCCAAACAGTGATCGTCGGGGTCACGGGTCCGGTCAGTTTACTACATTGAAGTGTAGTTTGTCCAATCCGAGCGCACTCACTGCGCATAGCCATACGCTCACCATGTTCGTGTTGAGCAACCCATGACTCCACGTTGTCGCCTGTGATTTCCAATCCGTTCTCTATTCTCGCGACCGCCGACCGTCGAAACTTTCTCGCACTGTCGGATGTCAAGCCCGCCGAACAGCCGGACTTGGCGGGACACCCGTCGCGGCTCATATAAGATCTGTCGGTGGAAAGTCTAGATGAAGGTGGAGTGGCAGCCTTTGTTGGTCCAGTGCCCCTCGATCGTTGAGGTTGGAGCCATGAAGCTTGCATCCTGCTTGTCGATCCTTTCCGTGAACGCTGGGCTCGTCGCTCTCGTCACAGCGGTACCGACGAGGAGGGCGGCTCCTACCGTGACACTTGATGATGGCACTTTCACTGGCGCGGCCAGCGGGACGGTCAACAAGTGGCTGGGTATACCCTTCGCCAAACCTCCGTGAGTCTTTCCACTGGCCCTAATCTGTGACTATCGGATACATGACTGACTAGTTGCGTGCAGGGTTGGGGATCTGCGCTTCAACTTGCCAGAAGCGGTCGATCCGTACACGGGCACTTACACCGTGACGGCATACGGACCAGCCTGTCCCCAACAGTCCGTCGACCTTCCGCTCATCAGTGGACTTGCTGGGGATGCCATCGATTTCATCGTCAACACGATTTACGGCGCCGTGTTCCCCGATGACGAGGATTGTATGTGGTCAGAAGATATTGAAACGAAGTGGATGATTGACGGGATCAACAGGTTTGACGATCAATGTGGTCGCGCCCACCGGCGTCAACTCGACATCGAAGCTTCCTGTCGTCGCAGTACGTCTACTGGTTGACAGCTCCTGTCTGTATGCTGACGATATGGAATAGTGGATCTTTGGTGGCGGGTTCGAGCTTGGTAGTCCGTCAATGTATGATGGCTCTGTCATCGTTCAAAAGTCTATTGACATCGGAGAGCCCGTGATCTACGTTAGCATGAACTACCGGTGAGTGATTCCTACTCCTCGAACGCCGCATGAGTTGACATGGATTGTGTAAAGCGTTTCTGCATGGGGGTTTATCGCCGGACAAGAAGTCAAGGACGCCGGAGTCGGCAACCTGGGACTGCGTGACCAGCGTCTGGCGCTCCAGTGGGTCCAAAAATACATCTCTCAGTTTGGCGGCGACCCGAACAAAGTCACTATCTGGGGCGAGTCTGCAGGCGCCATCTCCGTCGGCATGCAGATGGTCGCGAACAACGGCAACAATGAGGGTCTCTTCCGAGCTGGCTTCATGCAGAGTGGCAGTCCCTTGCCCGTCGGTGATATTGCGCACGGTCAGAAGTACTATGATGCCCTCGTGGACGCTACAGGCTGCTCTGGAAGCTCAGATACGCTTCAATGTCTCCGTGGCGTATCTTATGACACATTGAAGAAGGCAGTAGATGAGGTGCGCCGCTCTTGATTGCCTGCTACATACTCACTCATTCATGTTATGGTACCCAGGCTCCGAGCATCTTTTCTTACCAGTCCTTGTCGTTGGCATACCTTCCCCGTGTGGACGGCGATTTCATCACCGACGCGCCTCAGAAGCTGGTACAACAAGGCAAGGTAGCGAACGTGCCCTTCATTACTGGTGACTGTGACGACGAGGGCACGCTATTCGGTCTGGCTAACGCGAATATAACGTTCGTGCACTCAATTTCATCCCGTTACCACGACTGATAATCTCCTACATAGGACCGAGGCAGAGCTCAAAGAGTACTTCTTGACGTACTATGCCCCGGACGCCACCGATGAGGAAGTGGCCACGACTTTGGCCGCATATCCGGCGGATATCACACAGGGATCTCCCTTCGATACAGGCGTTCTCAATGCCATCACGCCGCAGTTCAAGCGCATCGCTGCACTGCTCGGCGATCTCGTCTTCAATGCCCCTCGCCGTTTCATGCTACAGCAACGGGCCGACCAACAACCCGCCTGGTCCTTCTTGAGCAAGCGCCTTAAGTCGCTTCCCGTGCTCGGTTCGGTGCGTTCATTCCCGCATCCGGCTGCTGCGTAAGCTTGACGGAGTATGTGCTCGTACAGGCACATGCGACCGACATTCTCAACGTCTACGCCGACGGAGAGATGACGGAGTATCTCGTCCGCTTTGTAGCAACCCTTGACCCTAACGGCGGCTCGCTATTGGAATGGCCGAAGTACACGACGAGCAGCCCAACACTCTTGACCTTCCTCGACGGCTTGACCCCGTTGAAGCTGACCCAAGACACGTTCCGCGAAAACGGATTCGACGTTCTTACAGACCTCAGTTTGAAGTATCCGCTATGATACTGATCGTCCGTGTTATCTGCGCTTTGTTTGGGTTCTGTGTATTATATCATGTATTTACGAAGCTTTGACGCCTTCAGATGCTGACAATTGTATACGATGTTTCTCTCGGCAAAGTCCTTGTACCACTCATACTTTGCCTCTATACATGCTGTGAATGTGGACGTCAAGCCTGAGGGGGTGGCACCGTGGTACCACCTGCTCACGAGCCTGAGAACGTACACGTGGAACACGAGGCTCGCATCTGCCGAAGTGTCGCGTCTGCTCTTGCCAACCTCCATCAACACATGCATGTCTGCCATTCATCGCGCTGAAAGGGTCCCATCTTGATCAACACCAACTTCATACGATGCCGCCACTACCTCCCGACGCGACAGAGTTGCGCCAGAGTGAAAAGATTGACTGGGAAGGATTGCGCAAGCGAAGTTTAGAGCCAGGAGGATTTGGCAATGAGCGAGCCATTATCTGGTATGTGGTCCGTCATCATACTTTATCAGCCCAACTCAATATGCGTATAGGTCTCGGCTGCTTCATGTCGCGCCGCCAGAAACTCCAGCCGTCGACTCTGACACGAGCCTCACCACGGCATCGCACGCGGACGAACGTCAGATCCGGCTTGACACTGACCGGAGCTTCGTGTTATATCCTGTATGAAATATATTCCTCCCCGCTCTTACAGCTCAGGATTGATAACCCGTGGAGGCAGAAGACGAGGAAGATGACCGGTCGCATCTTCAGAACGAACTCTACGACCTCATCGTCTCGGTCTTTCGCAAGTACCCTGGGCTGAACTACTTTCAGGTGAAAGAAACACATCTGGCCAGAGGATGTATCGCTGACAAGAACCACAGGGGTATCATGATATAGTCACAGTGTTCTTCCTCACCTTGCCACCCGAACTTCAGCTTCCTGCCGTGGAGAAGATGAGCTTGCATCGGTTACGGGACGCCATGGGCAAGACCCTGGAACCTTTGATGGGAATGCTCAGGTACGTCTCAAATACTCTCAAATGGTAACGGACCGAACACCCATCACGCCTTATAGAATACTGCAACGACTGTTTCGCCTAGCCGATGCCGAATTCGCCCAGATACTAGAAGAGTAAGAAATCTCCGCCGAGAAACATCAACATGTACTGACGTCTTCTCAAGGCAGATGCCGGTTCCATATGCTGCACTATCTCATATCTTGACACTGTTCGCACACGACGTACCCACGCTGGCTCTCGTGCAACACGTCTTCGATTACCTGCTCGCAAGACCTCCAATCGCCGTTGTATATCTCGCTGCTGCGGTATGTCGCCACCCCAAGCTCAGTCTATCCGTGGAACCAACGAAGCTACTAGATCATGCTTACACATCGCGACGAGATCATGCTCCTCGAGCGCGAGGGCGAGGAGGGCATGATCCACTCGGTGCTTACCAGTCTACCCAGCTTCGTCGATGCCACAGAAAGCGACATACTGGCAGGAAGTACTGCTGTGGAGAGCATTCCCGACGCCAATATCGTAGACACATCAACCGAAGAGGATGCGGACGTCGAATGGCTATCATATACGGACATACAGTATCCCATCTTCGATCTCAAACAGGCAGACGTGATCACCATGCCCAGTTCCGAACCCTCAATGGGCATAACGTCGGATCCTGCGCTCTCACCGGCTGACGTCCCTCTCCCACTGTCGCGCCCACCATCACCACCGCCATCACCCCCTCCGCCGCGGCGTCCGCCACAATCTCTTCCAGCTCTGCTTCAGCGCTCGGACGACCTCATGACCTCATACCCACCAACCCATCCCGACCTCAAACTAGAAGCAACACTCGGCCCCGCCAGCGTCGTACGAACGTGGAGCGAGGACCCCTCTCGGCTTCCCTTGGATCGTGATGCAGAGCAAATGGTCGTCGCAGCTGTCGACATTGTGTACCCCGAAGAGCCAGAATTGGAAGCACGATCGTTCTCTGAAGACGAGAAACATTCGCACCGGCGCGGCGGCAAGGAGCGCGAGAATGAAAAGGAGAGGGAGAGGCGAAGGCGTCGCAAGCTGCAGAAGAACAAGCAGAAACTTTTCGGCGGGTTGATCGTGGTCGAGCGCCGGACGATGCTCGCTGGCGCCGCATTAGTTCTAGGTGTTGCGATGGCCGTTTCAGTGTATAGCAATGCACGTGGAGGTGCGCATGGACGAGCCGGGATTGCTG